TTTCCCGCCCCCCCCCGGACAGAAGACCTCCCCCCTCCCCCCTGCCGTGTTTCTTTATTTCTCCCTTCCGATGAAGTGATTTTTCTCAATATTAGATGTTTTTTGTTTGCCTGATAAAGTACCCATGTGCATTCATATTTATCTCATTACTTTGAATTGACTTTTATTTCTGATAATGGCTCCAAAGAGAAATATTTTAGTGGAATTCAAGTAACAACATATGCAAGGATTTATTTTTTATTGTTTTATTTTTTGCAAGGATTTATTGAAGACCTTTTACATGAATAATGGTCAGCATGACCTTCACAATTTGAACTGAACAGCCCTTAGAGTTCCAGAATAGAACAGTTTGATCTTATTTCAGGAATCGAATTTTGTTAAAATTAACCTTCAGTTTTTTCTTTGATTTCTAAGTCATGTGCTGTAAACCTTTCTTCTTATTTTCTTTTTTCTATTTTAACTTACTGTCTCAATGTGTAGTTTATAAACTATGAACTGAAATTGACTTCAACATGATATTTTTATGATACAAACTAAAATGTAAGATTATTCTAAAGTAATGAGGAATAAATAGCATGAGAAAACTAAAAAATTATTCCAATACTTATTTGTAACAATTGAAGGCCTAAGGCAATTTAAATGTTTTCTAAATAATAATTATAATGAAAGCCTTATAATATTATTACTAGCCTCTCTTTCTTGCTTTTAGTAAATCAGAAGTCTTTTTCAGAGTAATAATAAACTAAGAAAAATAATTAACATTCTTAATTATAAGGAGTTCAAAACATCAGTAAGAAAAACACCCTCCCCGCCCCCAGATAGGTGGATAATGGAGAGGAAATTTGAACAACAAAAATACAAAAGAGTAGTAAACATGAGAAAAAATGTTTAACATTATTGAAATGAAACTCTATTTTCTTCTGTTGGGTTAGCAAAGATTAAAAAACTAGAGAGGTACTCTTTAATATTTTTGTTGAAGTGGGAAGGATTTTAAGTTGGTACAAACTGTATAGAATATAATACCTATTCACTAGCTTTAAATGTTTATTTTTTTAAAAAGAGAGAAAAATGTTTATGGACGCAGTAATTTCAGAAATCTACTCTAAAGAAGAAATCTGAAATGTGGACCAAAATATATGAAGAGTTATTGATTGCAGGAATGTTTAATGACTGGAAAAAACTTGAAGGCCCAATAGCTGGAGAATGGTTAAGCATATTATAACACATACTAATAACAATGAATATGATATAGCTATTTAATGTTTATAGATAAACTAGAGACCCATTGCACGAAATTTGTATAGTGGTAGGGTCCCTAGTGGCTGCCAGCTGGGTACTCCCTCCCTTCCCCCAGCCAGCCCTACCCCCTGGTCGAACTCTCGGATAAATGCCCAGTCGAGGGGACAATTTGCATACTATGTTTTTATTATATAGGATTTTTTAAAAATCAATTATATTATGAAAAATTTTAAGCATAATTAAAGGTAAAGAGAGAGTATTCTAATGAATTCTCATGTATATGAGGTATTTTTAATAATAGAATGCCTATAGGTAACAGAATAAGCAGCATATCTACACTAATAAAAGAGAAACATGGTAATTAGCGTACGACCGCTACCCTTCCCATTGGCTAATCAGCATATCCTTATGCAAATTAACTGTCAGCCAAGATGGCGGCCGGCAGCCAGGAAGCTGGAAGCGAACATGAGGCTTGCTTGCTCCAGTGACTGCAGACTCCAACGTTCCCCGCCTGACTTGCCGGCCTCTGAGCTGCAACTCTAAGAAACATTGTAACAAATATAGAAGCTAAACAAAACCCCAGAAACCAGCTTTCAGCCGGCCGGGATCTCAGAGCTGGAGTTATACATTGTTTCGATTATAGAACCCAAACAAACCAGATACCTGCTTTCAGCAGAAACCTGCTTTCAGCAGCAGAGGCCTCAGAGCTAAAGCTGGCCCAGAATAAAAAAAAAAAGAAAAAAATGAGCGGTTGGGAACTTCAGTCACCCGGCAGCCTGAAAACGGCCCTCAGCCCCTCACCCAGACTGGCCAGGCACCCCAGTGGGGACCCCCACCCTGAAGGGTGTGTGACCAGCTGCAAACAGCCATCATCCCCTCATCCAGGCTGGCCAGGCACCCCAGTGGGGACCCCCACCCTGATCCAGGACACCCTTCAGGGCAAACCAGCCGGCCCCCACCCGTGCACCAGGCCTCTATCCTATATAGTAAAAGGGTAATATGCCTCCCAGCACCGAGATCAGCGGAGCCGAGAGGCCTCCCGGCACCGGGATCAGCATGACAGGGGGCAGCACCCAAACCCCCTGATCGCCCTGCGGCTCTGTGTGTGACAGGGGGCGGGGCCACAACCTCCCTATCCTCCCTGCTCTGTTCATGACAGGGGAAGGTGCCCAAACCCCCTGATCAGCCCTGCTCTGTGCCTGATAGGGGGGAGCTCCCCAACCCCCTGATCACCCTGCGGCTCTGTGTGTGACAGGGTGTGGCGCCCCAACCCCCCCACCCCCACGGGCCCTGCTCTGTGTGTGACGGGGTAGAGCCATAACCTCCCCATCGGCCCTGCCCTGAGTGTGACAGTGGCGGCGCCCCAACCCCCTGATCGGCCCTGCTCTGTGGGTGATAGAGGGCAGCGCCCCAACCCCCTGATCCACCCTGCTCTGTGTGTGACAGGGGGGCAGTGCCCCAACTCCCCTATCGGCCCTACTCTGTGAGTGACAGGGGGGAGCTCCTCAACCCCCTGATCGGCCCTGCTCTGTGCATGACAGGGGGGAGCTCCCCAACCTCCTGATTGGCCCTGCTCTGTGCGTGACAGGGTACGGAGCCCCAACCCCCCTGATGAGCCCTGCTCTGTGCGTGACAGGGAGCAGCGCCCCAACCCCCTGATTGGCCCTGCAGGGTACGGAGCCCCAACCCCCCTGATGGGCTCTGCTCTGTTCGTGACAGGGGGCAGCGCCCCAACCCCCTGATTGGCCCTGCTCTGTGCGTCACAGGGGGTGGCACCGCAACCTCCCCATCGACCCTGCCTTGAGTGTGATAGGGGGTGGTGCCCCAACCCCCCCAATCAGCCCTACCCTGAGCATGACTGAGGGTGGCATCGCAACCTCCCAATCCGCCCTGCTCTGTGCATGACAGGGGGTGGCGCCCCAACTCCCCAATCAGCCCTGCTCTGAGCCCGACCAGGGGCTGCACCTAGGGATTGGGCCTGCCCTCTGCCACCCAGGAGCAGGCCTAAGCCAGCAGGTCATTATCTCCTGAGGGGTCCCAGACTGCGAGAGGGCACAGGCCGGGCTGAGGGACCTCCCCTGCCCCCCCCCTCCCAGTGCACAAATTTTTGTGCACCGGGCCTCTAGTAAAATGATATAGTGTAATCTCAACTATGCTGAGAAATAAGAATAGGATAGAAATATACCAAATGTTAAAAATTTTCTGAATGATGATTTGCTTATGTATATATGCATACACATACCTTTTTAGGTAGCATAAAATGATGTACTATAGAAGGTCTCTCAACTACTTTTGTCCCATAGGCCACTCAGTTCTCTTCCACCTACAAGAAACTAATATTACCATTTATTGTTCAATAGAGTGATATTCATATACAATCAAATATGAAATTATACCATGTATGGAAGTACTATCATTTAGTCTGTTGAAGAATATTTATTTCTAATTTTTTGTTATTACAACACTATTGTAAAACGAAAAATTCTGCACATGCATCTTTTTGTACAGTGCAAGTATTATTTGAAGGATCATTTCCTAGAAGTGGTATTGCTGGGCCAAAGAGGAGTATGAGGGGCATGCAGGAGGCAATCGATGTTTTGTTCTCACTTCAATGTTTCTCTCTCTCTCCCTCTCCCTTCCTCTCTCTCAAAAAATCATTTAAAAAATATAGCCCGGCTGGTGTGCCTCAGTAGTTGAGCATCGACCTATGAACCAGGAAGTCATGGTTCGATTCCCAGTCAGGGCACATGCCCGAGTTCCGGGCTCAATCCCTGGTGTGGGGTGTGCAGGAGGCAGCCAATCAATGATTCTCTCTCATCATTGATGTTTCTCTCTCTCTCTCTCTCTCTCTCTCCCTCTCCCTTCCTCTCTGAAATCAATAAAAATATATTAAAAAAACATATATATATATATATGACTGATTCCTGACGCACATGAAACTCACTTGAGGATGGGAGGCTACAGAATGGCTCCTGGATTTCTGTAAGGCTCATTGCTGAAAACAACATGATACAAGCTGCCTGCTCTCATACTGTTTCCTGTTCTGTATCCCACAAAATTAAATGAGCCTGGTTTCATGCTATAATATATTTCAGTGGTTCCCAAACTTATTTGGCCTACCGCCCCCTTTCCAGAAAAAATATTACTCAGCCTCTGGAAATTAATTTTTTTAAAATTTTAATAGCAGTTACTTATCGCCCCCAAATGCACCTGTGGCCATCACCGCCCCCCTGGATCGATGCAGCGCCCACCGGGGGGCAGTAGCGCCCACTTTGGGAATCACTGATATATTTGATCCTTTGAGTGTGAAGGTCAATCTGTATGACACTTTGTATAATACTGCTGGTAGTCATGCAAAGTGGGCTTTGCAATTGCAAATTGAATTCATGTATGTATTTGGGTTTTTTCCTGGGCTTTCTATTTTTTTAAAAATAGACTTATAAGAATTTTAAAAATATATATTTTATTAATTTTAGAGAGGAAGGGAGAGGAGAAAGAGATAGAGATAGAAATATCAATGATGAGAGAGAATCATTCATCTGCTACCTCCTGCACGCCCCACACAGGATCGTGCCTGCAACCCGGGCATGTGCCCTGACTGGGAATTGAACCGTGACCTCCTGGTTCATAGGTGGATGCTCAACCACTGAGCCATGCCAGCCAGGCTTACTTTTTAAATTGAGGCTTTATTATAGTTTGTAACATGGGTAGGCCTAATCCCTTCTCATTAATTTTTAAAATACATTTTTCTTGCCTATTTCTTTATCTTGTTATATGAACTGTTAAATTACATTTTCTTTGATTATCATAAGTTTTTTTTAGAGTTTATGGTTTTTTTTGTCTTATCTCTTAAAATACCATCTGGATAATTGGACAGATGCTCTTTGCTATTTGGGAGCAGGTGTCTTTTTGCATAAATTGAGCTGTTTTATTATAAGTCATTTCCTCCTTTCCCTCTGTCTCACCCTAGGCAACTGGCCAGTGCTCTGTTTTTCCAGCCTTCTGTTGCTGTCAGTCAGCTCCCTGCATATCAGGCTGTTCTTTTGTGTATGTCTATGCTTTTATTATATAGGATTTTAAAAAATCAATTATATTATGATAAATTTTAAGCATAATTAAAGGTAAAGAGAGAGTATTCTAATGAATTCTCATGTATATGAGGTATTTTTAATAATAGAATGCCGATAGGTAACAGAATAAGCAGCATATAAAATGATATAGTGTAATCTCAACTATGCTGAGAAATAAGAATAGGATAGAAATATACCAAATGTTAAAAATTTAACATTTGAGTGTGAAGGTCAGTCTGTATGACACTTTGTATAATACTGTCTTTCGATGGTACAGGGTAATGGTGAGGAGTGCAATAAAAGCAGCATTTCTTCTAACATTGCTTTGTTTTTTTTATTCCAAATTTAAAACTTTATTTTATTTTTTTTATTTTATTTTATTTTTTTAAATGTATTTTATTGATTTTTTACAGAGAGGAAGGGAGAGAGATAGAGAGCCAGAAACATCGATGAGAGAGAAACATCGATCAGCCGCCTCTTGCACATCTCCTACGGGGGATGTGCCCGCAACCCAGGTACATGCCCTTGACCGGAATCGAACCTGGGACCTTTCAGTCCGCAGGCCGACGCTCTATCCACTGAGCCAAACCGGTTTCGGCTTTATTTTAATCAGTACCATTATTTTGTCTTTTCTTCCTCAGAAATATAGAGACCATAATATTTTTTAATATTAAGTGTTAAGAGAGCTGCTAGTATAGTTATATTGGAAGCAATTGGTAGCTACTGTAATTACTTAAGTATTAAGTCTTATTTTTAGGGAGCAGGTTTAGGAAATACCAGTAGGGCATAAGGTGTTAGGGAGACAGAATGTAGGTATCTCTTTCCTGAAATTCTCATGTTTCATAGATTTTTCTGAATGATAGATTTAGTCTTTATTCTCTGATTTGCTTTTTAAATTTTTTTTTAATCTTTTTAAGGTGTTTTTTTTCCCTTCGGATTTGCTTTTGAGGCTCAGCATTGAAGAAAGCATAAAATAATAAAATGACTGCCTTTGATATTCTTTCTTACTTTTGTTAGGACCTAGAACAATGTTGCTTTCAGAATTGTGAATTAAACTAAAAAGGGATAGTAAATTAGCAACTCTCTTGAATTTCTCTTCTATATTAACATTGACATTGTTTTTTGATCATTCTGTACTTGCTTCATTCCTTCCCTGTGCTGCCTGGTATAGTAGCCACTAGCTACATATGGCTGTTTAAATTCAAGTATAAATTAATCAAAATTAAATAGAATTAATTCAGTTTCACATTTGCAGTGCTCAGTAGGTACACATAGCTTGTGACTACTGTATTTGGGCAGTGCAGGGTAAACATTTCCATAATTGCAGGAAGTTACATGATACAGCTGCTGAAATCTCCTGGTTTGTCCTTATCAGATGAGTTTGTTTTCTACTTTAGAAAGAAGATTGAGGTTCTCCTTCTGTATTTCATGGGTGTTTTTTTTTTTGTTTGTTTGTTTGATTTTCTTTTTGGTCAGAGGAAGATTGTTCTTTTCTCATTTATAAGGTTTATGCCTTTATTTTACTTCTCTTATGACTTTTTTCCCATTTATTTCTTCTCTCCCTAGTATTTTTATCCCTTTGAAGTTAGAACAGAGATATAAAAACCATAGAGGATAACCAGATGGCTGCTGCTGAGGTGTACAGCAGGCATTTCATAGTGACATTTATTTGGAGGTGATGTCCATTATTTGTCCTGTCTTCAGTTTTCCATACCTTGAAGCCAGTTTAGTTTCAGTGCTCATCAAGTTTAGGGAAATAAGAGTCAGGCTACTCAAAGCCAACATAGTAAACTAATAAGAGACTCATATGTCAGAATGTTATAGTACTTATTAGTGAGAAAAATAACAAGTCATCTGTCTTTGACAGCCTTGGGAATGAATCATTATGATTAGCATGTGTCTGTCAAATGGACCTAATATTGTTTCTTGGAAATACTCTTTGCCATTCCACACCCCAACTTTTCTAGCCTTCCAGACGAACATTTGTCCTCTATTTTTTAAAAAATTCAGGCAGATTATGATTAAATTGATTTAAGGGTCAGCTTCCCAATTCAATAATATAGGCACAGGGTAGAGAAACCATCTCTATTGGTTTATTTTCCCATCTCTATTGTTTTCAATAACATTTTTTGTTCCAAGACTTATTTCCATGTTTTAGGCAACCTAGAGTATCCTAACTCCTAGAGTTACTAGTTACAGATTTCTGTTGCTCCTATGCCAAATTTCTAGGATGGTTTTTCTTATTCTGTAACTCTGAAATCTACATTTTTACAGATCTGTTTCCAAAGTCTAATCTTCCACTTCTGATTATAGAAATATCTAACTACATAGATATTTCTATTGAGGTATTTACTAGTAATTCCTTAAATAAAAATATTAAAAATTAATTTCTGAGTACCCTCAAATCCCTCAAAAACTATATAACCTTTTCTTTGTAATTTCTTTTATCACTATTTAATTCCTCTCATTTATATCCTCTTCTTCCTCCCATTCATTTTTTTTTAGTTATCAAGTTATCTTGCCCCCCCGTTTTTTTATGATAGCTACTCATTTTTCTTCCCATTACTACCAGTCCATTCTGCTTTAGTAATCTTCAGATTCTCCTCTTCTTAACCTACCCTACTTTATTTTTCCTTTCTGAACAGGAACTTTGGCTTATGCATCTTTGTATCTGAAACAGACAAGTCATTATTTTGTGATAATATAATCTGACTTTATTTGTGATTTAACATATAGAGCCACCTTAGTTGTTACGTTTTAATTATATAGAGTATTTATGTGAACTCTGTTTTTTAGTGTGATGAACAAGTCTGGGGTGAATCGTGTAGTTTGGAAACGACCTCGGCTCACTCATAATGGACCTGTTAGAAGGAGCACAGTTATTGACCAGATTCCTTTTCTGGCAGTAGCAAGAGCACTTGGTAAGTACAGCTTACATTTGGTGAAATCATATTGGATATTCTACAATATATGGTAGCAAAATGAAAAAGATTCTAAATCCTCATTTGGCACACAGTGGGGGTAGAAATATGATGATATTATATTAAATGCTTTAACACCTAAGTGAGGGGAAGGTTAATGTATAGATTTCAATGCCATTTACCAGGTGTACTGGTTAATAATTTGGATTTTGTAATCAAAGAAAACACAATAATTTCAAGAGAAACATCAAAAGTGCTTTATTCAATGTCCATCCCTAGCTACACATTTCCCCCATCTTTCAGGTAATTTGTGGATACTGTCCCAATAGAACTTTTCTTGTTTTGAGGCAAACCATTCAGAGACCCAATTTTCCACTTCTTCGTACGTTTTGAAGTGCTGCTCAGAAAGTGCGTGTACCATCAATTGGAACAAGTGGTAACAAGATCTGGTGAATACGTTGTTGGGTTAATACTTCCCAGGCAAGATCTTTTAATGTGTCTTTAACTGGTTTTGAAGTGTGTGATGGTGTGTTATCATGAAGCAAAATTACTTTGTCGTGTCTTCTGGCCCATTTCACGATCAAAGCGTGGTTCAAATTGATTATTTGTTGTCAGTAGCGATCAGTATTAACGGTTTCACTTGGTTTTAGAAGCTCATAATACACCACACCTTCCTGATCCCACCATACACAGAGCATTGTCTTCTTTCAGAAGCAATTTGGTCTTGCAGTCGATGTTTTTTTTTTTGTTTTTTTTGTTTTTTTTTTTTTTTTCTTTTTTTTTTTTTTTTTAATATTTTTTTATTTTTCGCTTAAAGTATTACAAAGGGTATTACATAAGTGTCCTTTTTTTTCCCCCCCGCCCTTGACACACCCCTACCCTCCCTTACCCCCCAGTGTCTTATGTCCATTAGTTATGCTTATATGCATGCATACAAGTCCTTCGGTTGATCTCTTACTCCCCTCCCTCCTGCCCCCCAACTCTCTCTGGCCTTCCCACTGCAGTTTGGCAATCAGTTTGAGGCAGCTCTGCCTCTGTATCTATTATTGTTCAAAAGTTTGTAATGGTCTTTATTATCCATGAATGAGTGAGATCATGTGGTATTTTTCCTTCATTGACTGGCTTGTTTCACTTAGCATAATGCTCTCCAGTTTCATCCATGATGTTGCAAATGGTAGGAGTTCCTTCTTTTTAACAGCAGCATAGTATTCCATCGTGTAGATGTACCACAGTTTTCTAATCCATTCATCTACTGATGGGCACTTAGGCTGTTTCCAGATCTTAGCTATGGTGAATTGTGCTGCTACGAACATCTGGTTACATATATCCTTTCTGATAGGTGTTTCTGGTTTCTTGGGATATATTCCTAGTAGTGGGATCACAGGGTCAAATGGGAGTTCCATTTCCAATTTTTTGAGGAACCTCCATACTGCCTTCCATAGTGGCTGCACCAGTCTGCATTCCCACCAGCAGTGCACAAGTGTTCCTTTTTCTCCACATCCTCTCCAGCACTTGTCGTTTGTTGATTTGTTGATGAT